GTGTTTATCTCTCTTGTATAAAAGGAGTGAGAGGTGTATGTTCAGAGCAGGAATGATGGTTACACTGTGTCATCTGAGATCCAGGCACCGTTTGTCTCCCTGTTCCCTCACCTGCAGCACTGGGCTTCCACCTTCGAGAGTACTTCATGGTCCACTATGGCTGCTGGAGTCCAGCCCTCACTGCCACAGTCTATTCAAGAGGCAGGAGGAAGGAGAAAAGGATAGAGCAAGCCCATGCCAGCCTCTCTTCCCTATTAAAGTGCTCTCCCCTAAGGAGTGATAAAACTTGACATCTCTCTAGTTGCAAGGAAAGCTGGAAAATGGAATCTTTCCGCTGGGCACAGTACTAGCCAGAATAAATGTTTTTACTCAGAAAGAAAGGTAGGCAACCAGCCATCTCTGCTCCAACCTACATTTTAAAATAAAGATAGGACAACAGCTACTTTTATTGCAGGTCCTTTTTGTGCCAGTTAGTTTCCTAGAAACTTTGAATACAGTATCTCATTTAATTCTGATGACTTCAATAAAGTAGATATTAGTGTTCCTATTTTACCCACGAGAAAAGCAAGGCTCTTTATAAAGATGAACTCACCTAAGATTGCTCAGCTGGTAACTGGGAACAATGTACAATCTTCCCATTTGTCTTTGTGCAGATGCTGGTCTCCTATAGATCCATACTGTGTCAGTACCTTAGTGACACGCCACGTCTGTAACAACTAAACTTTTACCTAAAGGGAAGAACAAACACTGAAGAACATAAATTCCCCTCTTTTCAATTATGCTGGAGGAAAAGAAAGATTCATAATTCAAGTATCTAAAGTTTCTCTGATTCATCTCCGATAAAACTATGGAAAAATAAGAAGGTTTAGTTCCAAAATTAGTTTGGAAAGGAAAGACGCATCTAACACTGTGAGAATCCTGTCTTGTTGGGCTTTTTAATTATTATTTTCAGGAAATAATTTTTCCTTAGAAATTAAAAGTGAACTGAGGTCTTTCATTGGGTCTCCTTCGAATTCTGAAAGGCCTATCTGAATTCAAGTCTAAAGCTGTCACTTAAGAAGTGTTAACCGTTTCACAACTGAAAGCAGCATTGGACGGCATGAGAACCTCTCTGGGTCCTTCCTGGGGTTGGATTTGCAAGTTGGCAGGTGCAGCGTCGTGAGGGTCTGAACCCCCGCTCCTGGCCTGGGGTCGGGAGTCCGAGAGCCGTCGTTCATGGACTGACACGCTGCCCTCGACTTCCACACTCCCAGCGGAACCAGTTGAACGTTCTTGGTCAATATGACTTTGAAATTTCTCTTTTATGAAAAAGAAAACTGAGTTTCACTTTCTATTTATAGAACACACAGAGCTTCACTTCCGGTGATGGCTGGAGGGCGTGAGCTGACAGTTCCTTTGAACAAGTTGCCTAACATTTCTTTGTGACATTGGTTCTCTTTTTTTTGCCTCCAAAAGCATAATGGAAAAAAAAAAAATTGCACTTGCAGAGAAGTTTGAATCTTTTGTGGAGAAAGTACTATACTAACTGCAAGATATTACTATTATTACTTGAAGTAAAAGACAAACGACTTCAACTTGATAGTTTTTAAAAAGTATGTCATCCTGGTATTTCCATGGTTTAAAGGCAAAGATCCATCCAAGACTGTCAATCCATGAACCTTTCAGCTGAGTTAGGAGCCCTGTAAATTATCACAATTGTAGCAAGGGAAAGAAAAACCACCTAAACCACATCCTCAGAAAGACTTGTCGCTGCACTAAGATAAGAATTAACTTTTTATGTCATTCCCCTTTTGTGGTGACAGATAAGTCTCCTTCCTCTAAAGTGCTCTGGCAGCTTTCTGTTCCTAAGGATGCTCCCCAATTGCAATTTCGTAAATTGGGGTCACTTACGTGCTTCAGATGCCCTTTTCTGTGCAGCAGGGCTGTGATTTGGCGGGTGTTAGATTTACCATAAATTGACAAAAATTAGTGGATTTACAGTAAATGTATGGTACATTGAAGTTACACCCGCCACGTCTGCTGAAGGTTTTTCCGTGCAAAGACACAGATACACAATGGGCAATTCATGAACAAGTTTTCAGGAATTCTTTGACCCTAAGAAAAAATGCCCAGTGTGTCTAAAATGCACACCTGCTTTTTAAAATCACAGGTACGTTCTCACCTTTATGTGACTCTAGCGTTTCTTCAGGATTCAAGGGCCTGCCTGTCACTCTGTTCCTTTGTCAGCTGTCCTTTTCACGAAGCCCCAGAAGAACTGTCACCAGCTTCACAGGAGACAGGAGGATTTTGCGTCTCCTTTGAGAGCACGTTTCAGGGAAGCGCCTCTCCTCTAAGAATCTATCTTCTCTCCCTGGTCCGAAAGCTTGCTCAGAAACGGCCTCCTCCACACCCCGCTGTTTGGGGAGAAGAAAAAGAAAAACAGACAGTCTTACAGTAAATCGTATTGCTGACTTGAACCTCTCTGCCAGAGTCCTCAGGTGCGGGAAGGGCTGGTCTTGAACGCACCGAGGAGCAGAGGACATCCGTCCTTGGCCCACCCTCTTCCCACCCCCACCACCCCCACGCGCCCATCAGCCCACCACCTTCACGCCGGTCCTGGCGTTCGAATGATCGTGTGCACACTGTGGCTTTCTAGTCTTTGTCTTTATCCCAAAGTCATTCTTACCCATCTCCTTGTCTCTCCCCATTAAAACTTCACTCACGTCAATGTCCTTTTCTCTGCTCTCAGTCTTAGAGAAAATACATGACAAACAGCACAGGGTGGTTTAATAGGTGTTGTTCCCAGTAATAATTTCTTCTTCAAACGGGGCACTTAGAGCTACAGCTCCTCATTAAACGAGAGATCACATTGCGTTTGAGGTGATCGTGGTCCCCGTCCTGGGGAAGTGACTCTTTGGTGGAAACTGTGGGAACAGCTGAGAGTCAGAATAAACCCACTGAAGAGGTTCGACGGCCAAACCACAGAAAAGCCCACCCTGGCAGGGGGGAAGGACTGACAGGGAGGATCCCTGGGGGAGGGACAGGAGACCCAGAGCAGTGAGGATGCTGGGAGCCAGGAGAGCGAAGGATTTCAAGAAAGAGAAATGAAATGAGGCTCAGGAAAGGGTAAGTAGCGTCACCGAAGTTACGAATGGATGGGATTTGAACTCAGATCCCAGTAAGGACAGCGCCCTCGCCCTTAACACTCACTCTGGGTCTCGTTCTTAGTTTGGTTCTCCCTGCGCCAGTGTGGAGTTGTCCCGGTGGGCAGAGGTCTCCTTGTGGTTCTGCAGGGCTCCAGGTCGGCTGCGGGTCACCGTCAACTGAGCACTCCTTTTATAAAAGTTTGAGCATATTATATTTGTATTTACTTTCTACAACCGGGATTTTGGATCCAGCTTTTAAAAGCGTTATCCGTCCCTCGAAACCTGATTCTTAAATCCAAACCCCAGGATGCTATGGTCTGTATGGGCACACATTTGTGCTAATTTCATCACAGAGCCGTCTCACCGGGCCCGGAGCAGGCCAGAGAGATCTTGGATGAGCGATTCCCGAGCTCTCTAAACGGAACCCCAGTCTCTAGAGAGGCAGCAGGTGCCCCGGTCCTCACCCAAGCTGGACTTGCAGGCGTGAATTGCCCCTGAATCCCCTTCAAGAAGCCCAAGTGTTACCTGGTATTCACCGAACTCAAAGGTTAAACTGATACAAAAAGCCATCATAAATGACAAAAGACAATCACAGGCATTTTTAAGTGTCGCTGGTTTAATATAATGACGAGACCAGGAACAGAGTTTTGAAAGATTTATTGCGAAGCCATCAACTCTTTCAGGAGGATTAAATGTGGCATCCAACACGCTATAAATCTCCAGTACGGCTTAATTAATAATCACGAGCAGTGTCGTCTTCTTCTCGCCCCGGGGTGGTAAACACTGACCCGGCCCTGTGATTTCCAGGCTCTATAATGGCAGATTCGACTCCCCGGCGCTCACTGCTGGGTGTGAAGTCCGACTCAGGCCTGAGAACAGACGGGAAGGGGGCGAGGAATGTGTGCCATGGGGTTGAACTTTTGCCTCCAAACTCCTCCCCCAACTTTTTCCAAGTCCAAACTGACAGTGTGTGGATTCTAAAATTTCAAACCTTTCCCGGAATTTGTAAGCATCCTAACACTTAGACCATTCACCCAAGCACTGTCACAGACGGCCGTACTGTGTACACTTTGATACCGTTTGTTCTCCTGAGGACTCGAAAGGAGATCGCACCGGTGTGGCTCGTACACGGCCAGTATGGTTCGGAGTCAAAAGGCAAAGGGTAGAAGCTCTTGCTACGGAGCCCGTGAGCGCAGGCGCTGGAGAGGTGAGTCGACAAGAAAGCAGGGCGTGCGCGGGTGACGCGAGGGATGACTCTCAAATCAGGTTTGAAATAACGATGTAAGTTGTGATTTGTGTCAGCTGAGAATTTTGGCCTGTCCAAAAGAGAAAAGAGTGAGCTCTAGTTAAATATAAACGGAACCACTAAATTAGGTCTGAGATCAACTTTGGAGAAAGCGAGCGGACGCTTACCCTTCCCTGAATTGCCGAGACAATTGCCACGGTGCTTGCTTTTCCCCATTCTGCGGAGACTTGGCGTGAATATCGCCGTCGGGCCGGAACAGCCTCCCCGCCTCCTCCCTACGCCCCACCGCCTCGCTCGGCCTCACGTCGAGGTTTAAAGGTCAATTCTGTTAAACAATCCCCAGGTGAGCTGTTCAGGTGCAAATTCATGCACAGACACGCCAGAAGTCTCCACGCTTTATGGATGACTCAGTCTGTGATTCATACGAACCCTTTAAAAAATCAGGGTGCTGAAGTGTTGTGAATACATTTACCGGGGAAATACTGTCTCTCGCAGTCAGAGGGGCTGAGGCGGTTGCAACGGTGGCTACTCTGACACTCCAGCCACTGCCTGGAGACCGTCAGCCTTGCTTCTGCATCTCCAATGACACGCATGGTGTCCTCTGCTCGGAGCGACACCCTCGAAAACTGTGGCCTGCCTCTGCGACAAGTGAAGTCTGCACTGGAGAAAAATAAGGCTAAACTCGATTGCAATTTCCAGGCAGGAATGAGCACGCCACGCTCACTGCCCCCGTGGCGTGCCCACACGCTGTGCTCCACGGTGAGGTACTGAGTCTTGAAGGAATGGTGTTTTCAAGGCCCGGCCCTGTGGTCAGAGACCAAAACTTATTCTCTTTACCGTCCTACACATTGTCAGTTTCAGTGGGTGTATGTTCAGCACCTGCTGAGTGCCCAGCACCACCCCGCCCAAATTCCCCAGGTTCCCTGGGGCGCAAAGATATAGATCCCCTAAATTACGCTGACAGTCTTCTTATCAGTGATTTCCAGACACAATTGGTGCGTCTGAAATTATCTAATCCATTTAGAAAGCGGTCTTTTTTTTTCCGGGGTATTCCTTTGTTGTTGTTAAGTAGCTAAAAGTTGGGATTGTTTTGTTTTTTCCCTAGGAAAACCTCTTTTTTGTGATGGAGTATCTCAACGGAGGAGACTTAATGTACCACATCCAAAGCTGTCACAAGTTCGATCTCTCCAGAGCCACGTAAGAGCCCTTTAAAGGGTTTGGGGTTTTTTCATTATTCTCGTCGGTCCCCGTGTATCCAGTGCCCACACAACACGTTTCCCACGGAGCATTGTTTTCTGCCTAAATCCCAGGCCAAGGGCCAGGTTACCCCCTTGGGAATACATCGAACAAGGCAATAGTCTTCCCAGTGTGTGAAACTGAAGTTCGGGCCAGTTTGCTTTCGTTTCTCTGTGTCTCGAAACCAACGACTTAGTTTCTTAAGGAAGCACCCCAAGCGTCAGGCACAAGGGCAGTCAAACGGAACACATCGCAAAGGTGGCCCCGGGGACGACGCTTTCACGGGAAGTTCAGTGTGGAGGCGTAAAGCGTTTGGCTCCTGGGGCATGAAAATTAGGCAACTGGAGAGGCACTTGCTCTATTTGAGAATAAACCTTCACCTGCGCTGGCATCGAGCAGCCTCAGACACAGGTGAGGTGGAGCAGGCTGCGTTTACCTGGCGGGACCGCGGCTGAGCCCATGTACCCACGGCCCCTGCCCGCGCTGTTTCCCCGCCGGCCCAACTTCCTGCTTCCTGTGACACTCAAGCAAAAGAAAACTGTGCCGCCGGCTCACTTAAAATGACGGGCACACGCCGGCGTCCTTTGTTCCATGCCCGGTCATCTCTCCGCAGCAGCACTTTGAGTGGTTTAGGTCGAACCATGTTGAAAGACGGACTGGGCCCGCCACCAGCCCCCGCAAAGCCCTGGCCGAAGCGGCTGTTTTGTCGAATCCAGTGGGCAGCACTGTGCTGGTCTCACTGCCTCCGGGACACTCCTCAGCAAAGCACCCCGAGAAAATTGTATCAGATTTCTGCAGCAATCACTGGGTGGTTTTCATGCCAGAAACGATTCCCGCAGCCCACCGTCCGCCGGAGCCGGCTTGGACACACGCTATCTGTTGTGTCCTAAACGCGTTCTAGGAGGGAGAATTTTGCACTCGTCCCTGAGATCCAGCAAATCTCACTTCCAGGAAACTCCCTCTTATATCTGACCTTAATCGCGCTCGTGACGGCGTGAACTCATCCCCTGTGAGCCCGTCGCCCGTGAAGATGAAGAGTAACTTATCACCTTGCATCTTCCAATATCCTTTCTTCCACCTCCCGGGCTGTATTTTTCACCCAGGCCAACGGTTGTCAGTGTGAAAATAAACCAGCCGGATCTGTTTCCAAGGGCTCTGCATACAGGTCTACGGGCGCCAAGCAGAGCTGAAAATAAAGGGGGAAATTATTTGCCTGTTATACTATCACGTTAAATGTTCGTATATGTTTTATTAGCAAAAATGGCCAATGTGAGCAGTGCAGTTTAAAATACAAGAACAAGCTCCAAGTACAGGTGGGCCCCACGTGAGATACCTGCTGTTTCGCACTCTCAGGGCCGAGGCTGGAGGTGTCTGAGCCTCACTTTCTTCTGTGTAGAACGAATAGATGACATTTTCCTCGTTACGATTAAACAAAATCACGTGTGTGTGCCATTTAGCCGGGCACTGCACAGACATGAGATCAGCCGGGTTTGGGGATGTTATTTTGTTCGGTTACTGCGTTCACCTTGAACCTCGTTCTCCGCCCGCAGGTTTTATGCTGCCGAAATCATTCTTGGTCTGCAGTTCCTCCACTCCAAAGGAATCGTCTACAGGTACACTCTGCTCTTTGCAAACAAATGCTAAGATATCGGATTCCCCGGTCCAGTTCATTCAATCGCCGTACGTTAGCGAAATGACGTGGCCAGTGGGATTTTGGGGGTACAAAGTCCCACACCCACGCCTCCTGCCACAGTGATCACGTGGATGATGATTTTTTTTTTATTTCAGCATATGACGGGGGTGCAAATGTTTCGGTTACATATATTGCCCAGAGCTTCAAGCGTGCCCGCGCTATTTCTCCATCTCACAATGTTTGTTTCTATCATGTCACCTTGTAACTCATTGACACTCAGAACAAAAAGACCAATAAAGTTCCATAAGTAGCTTTAATGTCACAAACAGATCGTATCCATTTTAGAGCTCTTCCTCTGTCCATGTGTCGAATTCATGTTCTTTAGGGCATCTTGTGCACCAACAAGAAAGGAAACTGGGTTTATTTAGGCTCATGAGGTTGTGGGGGCCCCTGAAAGACATCATCAAATAATTAAAATTGAGGTAGGTCGTCAGACAAGCACGTTGACGTTGAGATTGGCCATAAGAAATTCTTCAGCTGCTCACGTGTAATCTGACTTACCTAAACTTTTAATCTGGCAACTGAATTAACAAAGGGATTCTATTTATTTCCTTATTTTGACAACTTATCATGATTTTCTGGGTTGGGTCACAAAACTGGTGTATTATAATCGTTTTGAAGGGTTGCCATAAGAAATTACTGCAGACTTGGTGGCTTAAAAATAGAAACTTATTCTATCACAGTTCTGGAAGCCAGAGTCTGAAATCAAGGTATCAGCGGGGCCACGTCCCCACCAAAGGCTCTAGAGGAGACCCCTTCCCCGCCTCTTCCAGCGCCTGTGGCTCTGCAAGTGGAAGAAGTGACTCCAGAAAAGGTACAGGAATGGGGAGGTCAAGTGCAGGAAGGTTAAACTAATGTGTCGGGCTTTAGTGTCAAGGCAACCGTTGGACAAAGACAGGGATCGTAGAGAAGCAGGTGGTAGCATCGCCATCGTTCACCGTCTGCTGATGGAACCACAAAAGCAGTGACATCTTGTAAGATGTCACATTCCTTGGTTTGGGTTCAGTGTAAAAAAAAGGAGCCGGAACATATGCAGACATGGAAAGAGAAGAATCTAGAACCTCAAATCTCAGACTATTAGAAATAAAAATGATCTTAAGATTGTATTTTATAGAGATAAAACTGGGCCCAACTCACATATTTGAAGCCACTTCCGATACTTTCATGTGGATTGTCTCATTCCACGTCCCAGGACCCTGTGAGACGAGCCGGGCAGTTGCAGGAGACATCAGAGAATAGAAATGGCATGGCGGAGCCGGCCAGTCAGGAAGCTGGGACTCGGAAGCCAGTTTGACTTCCACTCCGCCTCTTACGAATGGAAAAGCTTTGCTTCTGTTGACCACACAACTGAATGAACGGCTTCCACTTACTTTCTGTCGTACTGGACGCCTGGTGGGCTGCTCCTTGAGCAGATGGATGCTCTCAGAGACAAGCTGGGAGCCGTGGGCTCTGAAGTCCTTCTCTGGGTCCTGACGTCCTGTGGGACACATGCATGATGTGCTGCAGAACATTCTGGGTCTTTGGGTTCTGTGGCACCTCCAGTTGGCTCCAGGGACCCTTGCTGGTCTTCCTCTGCCCTTATTCCTGACCCCATGGAGGTCCGGCTTGCACAGCAGCCTCTCTGGTCCTTTCCTGATCCGACGTAGATCTCTCAAAGCTTCTGTGACCTTCTCTCTCATGACCCCGAACACATCTGGCCTGCTGTAAAAGGTGAATTGAAAATTTGACACCAATCTTACTATTCCTAGCCTGAGGCCCAGAAGACACTTATTTTTAGAATCAGTTAAAATGCTGCTTTGTATATCTCAGCAAGACCAGTTCGATGGGAAAGGCCAGGGGAGGTTGGTATAAAGGGACGGAAGAGAAGATAAAGATGGGGTTTGCATTCTAGCCGCTGGCTGGCGGTGTGGGCTGGGATGGCTCATATCACCTCCAAGAGTCTTTCTTTTCCCATCAGAAAAAGTATGACTAAAATGATAACAATCTCAGATCCAAGGGCTGTTGTGAGAATCAAATCATAAAATACCGTGCAAGTAAGAAAACCCAATATGAACAATAGCCATTCTGTTCCTTATTCTCATGATCTGTGTATAGCCCTGCAGCCAGATATCTGGTTCCCTAGAGATGACCCCAAAACCACCCTTCAGCCAAATTTCTAGAAACATATGTAAATGCTCTAAGTGATGCAAATATGTTTCACGTAGCAGAAACTCAAAATGATATCAACATGGCGTAGCATGTAGACTCAATGACGCACCTGAAATTTTAGCATAAGGAGTTAAATATAACCTATAACTGGAAATAGCAGAATGCATACGTTGCAATGAAACTGTGTTTAATTCCAATGAAAGATCAGGAGACAGACAGAAGACAGCTCGCACTCTCTAATGAGAAGGCTTAGACGTGTTGGATGTCTTCAGTCCTGATGGTGAAAGTGTGGCAGCATTTGAGTTAGGATGAGAGAAAAACAGGACTGACGTGGATAGGAGACATACTCCAGGCCTCCCAGTCAGACAGACGCTGCCGGTGACGCGTCGGTAGCGGAGATGACCACGCTCCCCCAGATGGGAGACATCAGCGCTCCGGGGACATCTGCTAGTTGTCTCAACCCCAGCAAAACAGCCATGTCTACTCCCAGTTTCCCTAGCTAACTTGCTCTCACAGAAGGTGGAGAAAACAATAAAGGGAACAAGGGAATGAACTGGAACTGATAATCCCTGGCTGGTAGTGAACTCATGCGACACACAGTGACACGATGCCCAGTGTGTGCTGTGCTGTTATCAGAGCGGTCGCGATGCAATAAATATTTACTAACAGCAATACGTATTCCCAGTTGAACAAGGGAGACAGATGAAACAGTGACGGGAACTTTGGAAGAATATGCATATTGATGACAAGTCACATAAAACCACGCAAACTTTTGCTTAAGTAAAAGCGAGCCTGGTTACCAAACTGCGGCGGAGAAGGCAGGGCCATCAGAAACCGAGGCGGTGTCTCTCTTGTCGTGCATTTCCCTTTGGGCTCACGTGGCCTCCCCATTGTACCTCGGACAGTGAGATGTTGCTTTGCTTTTGTTTTCCAGGGACCTGAAGCTGGATAACATCCTGCTAGACAAGGACGGACACATCAAGATAGCAGATTTCGGAATGTGCAAGGAGAACATGCTGGGAGACGCAAAGACGAACACCTTCTGCGGGACGCCCGACTACATCGCCCCTGAGGTAGGATGCGCCGCCCCGAGGCCCCCACGCGCCTTCCCAACTCAAAACATCCCGGCTGCGTGCCGCTGCTTCTTCTTCCCCCGAAAACCAGAAGGTTTTGAGTATTTTGGTCCAAGATTTGTACTTGATGTTTTCTAAGTGTTTCATCAATGCACGTGTGGTGGCTGTCACCGTATGGGGGGTGCTACTCACGCTGATTACAGCTCTCCAAGGCTCGGTGGTTCAACCATCCCTTTTGGTCACGGCTCTGACCCACCTCCAGCCTTAAAATACACTCACTCTGCTCAGGTCTACCAGAGGAGCCGCCAGTAAGGAGCCAGGTAGAAGCAAATATCCACCTAGGTCAAGTGGTGTAACTGTGGCCTCCAAGACCTGATTGGGGTTTCCAAGCTGCCAAAGTCTCACTGACACCCTTTTCCTCCTCTGTGAAATGGGTATAACGCTGATGTCACCATGTTACTGCGAGCGTTAAATCAGAGAGCATGTGACACTTAAACCTCACCCACCCCCATGCCCCCAAAACAATAATAAAGCATCGATATCATATTCTGAACACCCAGAGGAGCGGCATTGGCCCAGAAGGCGTCCATCAACCCAACTAAACCCGCCCACCCAGGGAGATGGGGGCCTCCCCACAATGTGGTCCCTCCCATAGCAGGACTCGTCCTAGTGGCTTTTTTATCTTCCATCTCCCTGCACGACTGGATGTTTGTTCTAAAGTCAAGAACTGTTTCTTATTCTTTTTTAAAAACTTTTTATTTAGAAATAATTATATATTCACAGGAAGTTGCAAAAATAGCACAGAAATACCTTTCATATGTGCGCCGCACCCAGGTCCCATGGTTAGGTTCACGTGGCTGTGGTACAACAGCAAAACCAGGAAGTCGACGCCGGTCCAGGGTGCGGGTGGTCCCACGCCATCTTCTCACATGGGCAGGCTTCTGTGACCTTGTTCACTGTTATATCTAAGGACCTAGTGCAGGGTGCCCATTAATGCCTTTTATAAGGATGAATGGATGAATTAATTAACACATGTGTGAATGGGTGATGGTTATTTGATAAAAAGACAGTGACTGACCTCTGATTTCGTGGGTAAAATAACTTCAGCAGCGAATCCCTGTCATTGCCAAAGTGACTGTGGCAGCCTCAGTCTAAGAACTGTGTGGCTTTGCCCTGTGGTCGGGTGGTATTTAATTTTAATCTAACCTTGTTTAAAGGCAAGGTCGGCCTGTGTTCCATAAGAAATTGTGCCTTTTAACTTGCAAGGCACTGTTGAGCTCAGAGAGCGTGGCTCATTGATTTAATAACTCTCTGATATTAGAAATCTCCGCCTCATTCAGGTTAGCACGAACGCAGATATTGACACAACAAACCATTTGCAGTTCAAAGTGAAGCCAGAGCTAATGAAGGCACAGGTTAATTAAGTGCAGCCTCTGAGTTCCCCTTCCGAATAATTCTAAAATATTAGGATATTGGTGCTTTCTGAGCACCACATTTGAAGAAGAAAACTGCCAAACTCAAGATGTTTAGAGGGTAAGGGCCAAAATATTGAAGGGTCTGAAAACCACGTCCTATGAAGAATAAAGACAAGAGACAGCAACGGTGCGCAGACCACCAATGCCTCCCACCTGGCCTCCCCCCTGGCCTCCCACCTGGCCCTCCTCCCTCCCCATCCATCCACAGCACATCCTCGTTACGTATTTTCAAATATTTTGATCAGCTAAGAAAGCATCCCTTGAGGATACAGAACAATGCCTCGTCCAGCTCTGGACTCACAGGCTCGGCTCCAGAGGCTGACGGAGTCTCAGATACCACTCGCTGTGCAGGAGAAGGAGGGGACGTGGCACCAACTGGTGACGCCGTTGGTCGTGTTGTGCTGGTTTCTCGGGTTCAGCTCTGCGCACAGAGCGCTGATTCTGATTCTTTGGGCAAAAGCGAGGGAGGGACACAGGACAGAAGAGACCACAGGAGGCAAGGCCACGGGGGGACACGGAAGAGGGACCACCTTAGCCCTTAAGTTAATTCTATCCAGTCATCGGCTTGTGAGAAGATCCAGTTTTCAGGGTGATCTTTGTTGAAACCGCACGCATCGTCACCGCCGATTATTCGCGGAGTGGCTTTGAGAAGTTCAGAAGGACTTTCACAGCCTCACTGCTTTGCCTTCTGTCTCTGCCTCTCGGTTGCACAGATCTTGCTGGGTCAGAAATACAACCACTCTGTTGACTGGTGGTCCTTCGGAGTTCTCCTGTACGAGATGCTCATCGGGCAGTCGCCCTTCCACGGGCAGGACGAGGAAGAGCTCTTCCACTCCATCCGCATGGACAATCCCTTCTACCCACGCTGGCTGGAGAAGGAGGCCAAGGACCTTTTGGTGAAGGTAAGAAGGAGGTCAAGGAAGTCTTCATGGGAGGCACGTTTGGGTTTCTGGTCACTATTCCTTTCCTTTCTAGACTCTGACTTACGCACAGTAAACAGTGATTGCACTGAACCGGGTTAAATGGGACACACGGTCTCTGTGTTAAGTGGGCGCCAATGTGATGCACATCAGGTATCGAAATGAGTATAAGATAAACACTCACGTGTATCATTGATAAAAGAAATGCCCAGGAACCAATTCTGTGACGCTTAAATACCCTCCCTTGCAGGTGTAGTTGGTCCATGGAACGAGCACAGTTTGTGGCTTAGAACTCAGACTTTTGTTTCCTGTGGTCGCTATTAAAAGTATTCAGCCCAGCTCATCTTCCTGCCCCTGGTTGGAAACTTGGACAGGATACATGACTCTTCTGCTTACTCTTAGGTAAAAGACAAACCTGTTGTCTCTCTGAAGTCATAAAATACTGTCTCAGCTGAGAAATTAAAACCATCAAGTCCAGGGCCAGGCGTGGTGGCTCACGCCTGTAATCCTAGCACTCT